CACTCAATCGATCCCAAAGAGGCCGCTTAGCTTTCTTATTTCTCTCCGGATCAACTTCCCCAACTACAAAGCCTCGAAACTACCACCATTGCTGCCTGTCTTGGAGCAATACTTAATGTCATATGCTAGAAAGGTAAAACGATCGTGCTAAACCCCATTTGTGTGCTTGTGTAAAAGGGACAGTAAGAGCTAAAGCGTTTCATTACATAGAAAAACATGCCTGCCCTTTTGGCCTACTGAAAAGTACACCATTTTGAGGAGGGGTAATAGGTTTAACATGAAACAGTTATTTACATATCCTCCTTTAGAAGGAAAGAAAATAAACATACTTCTTTCCTTCTAGATAGGATCTTATTCAGACATACCTTTTTGAGGTGGATTCTATAAGTATCATTATTCAATGAGAAACTAAATGTCTTTATTTTTTTAAAAAAATAGTGTTATTTAATTGATGCTATCTAATTTTATTAATTTATTAAAAGAAGATGTTTACAAAAATGTCTTTTAAAATCTTAGCGATCGCCCTATTCCCCTTTGTATCCTATGATTAACTTTAAACTTAATTTGGGTTATTTCTAGTTATTGGTTTAAAATACTTATTTATGGATGTAATAGATTATTACAAACTTATTATTCTTTATTACAGAATAATATTCTATCTATTATTAAGTTTATTAAACATAAGTATTACTATTCTACAGATAAAAATAATTTTAGATTTGCATCTGTATTTTTAATTCCTAATAATCTAGTTGATTCTATTCATCTTTATTTTATAGAATTTATTCACTTCTTAAATAATAATCTTTCTAACATTTTTATAGGCTCTTTAGGCTTAGTATTACTAGGTTTATTAATTTATATAATTTCTGCCCCTAATTCATCTAATACAAATCCTTCATCAAAAAATACTTTTAATGCGGATATATTCGTAGCCATAAGTAAGAATAATTTTATAAATAAGGAGATTATTTATAAATTTATAATTACTATTGTATTTCTAAAAAAAAATTGAATTTCTATTTATTAAAAAAGTAATAATGATGGATGTTAATAGCTTGATAACAAATGAGATTCATTCAATTCTTATAAATCATTGGATTTTTTTGAATATTAATTGGCCTGTTATTAATCATAAATATAAACATAGAACTGAATTAAAACATATAAATTATATAGACATTATTATAAAAAAATTAGTAGAAAAATTAGGATATATTGCTGTATTTTTCTTTTTGATAGTATTATATAGCAATAAGGAGTACCCTGGACCTTACTATGAAATTGAAAAAGGTTTATTCTTATTATACCATTTAGTTTCGGGTATTGCTGGGAAAGAAGAAATAGATAAATATCTTCCGCAAAGTATATTTCATCGCTTTTATAAAAAATTTTGGATGGATGAAGATAATTATAAAAGGTTAAACAAAATTGTTAATGAGTCATTAGATACTATGTTTTCTAATATAAGATTAAGAATATTATCAGCACATAAATACAATCCTGATTTGTTTAAACATATTACTTTAATTCTTGACGGTCACGACTCAAGAATCAATTATGTGGATACAGAAATTAAGCATAGTAGATTATATTCTTACAAATTTAAAAAAAATGGATTAAGAACACAAATCGTTAGTGATATTAATGATATGATACTTTTTATATCCAAAAGTAATTTTTGTTTAGATAGTTCAGATGGTTCAATGTTTCTTAATATGAAATTATATCACAAAATGGATGATAAAGATACTATTGCTATCAACGGCGGATATACTTTGTTTGTAAACCAATTTGTAGATTTAGCTGTTGAAAAAGGTTATACATATAGTGATTCTAATTTTGTTTATCCTATTAGAAAAAATGTTAATGAAAGTTTATCTATAACTGAAGACCATTTTAATAAGACCTTTGGAAGTTTTCGTTCAAAAATAGAAAATCAGTTTTCAGAGTTAGGTAATAAATTTTATAGATTTAATAACAATAAATCAGTTGTTAGAATGGATAATATAAAGTTTTACAATTTACAATTTAAGGTTGCCTGTTTATTAAAAAGTACCAGTATTTTTGTAGATAAATTTAATGTACCAATTTTACCCCATCATAAACTATAGGAATCAAATGGATTTGAATTTCCTGTTGAAAAAAAAAATTATTAGATATTGTAGTAAGTAATGATAAGCAAAATAAAGATAAATTAGATAAAATGCTTGAATTACAAATGAATTTCTTAAATATGAATGTATCAGAAAATAATATGGTTATTGATGAGTTTTCAGATGAAGATTCTAATAATCATAAAGATATTTCAAGTGAAGGTGAAGATGTCCCTAAATTCAATGAAAGGTCTAAAAAAAGAAAATTAAAAGGATAACAAAAGGAGAAAATTTATAAATCCTATCAAATTGAAGCTGTTGTTGACCATAAACTTAAAGATGGTTTATATACATTTTTAGTTAAATGGAAAGATTATTCCGATAGTGATAATAGTTGGCTAACAATAGAAAAATTTAATGTAAAGGAAATGTTAAATGAATATATTAAAAATAATAATCTTAGTGCATTATAAATAATTTGATAATCTCCCCCTCCTATATATAAATGAATATCTATATAGGATATATTGTTGTATGTATGACGTCCGTAGTTAATGTAATAAGCTTTTTATAATATTCCAGGTTAAGGTTGCCGCTATTACATACATATATTGTTTTTGATTTTCTTTTTTTTACTTTTTTTAAATCTTTTTTAGGATTACCATTATCAATAGATATGTAAGGTGGTAAAACAATTTTTTTATTTTTTTTCTTAGGTACATGAATTTTACTATGACTAGAACATAGATAATCAAGCTTGTTATCTCCAATATTAGTTCTAATCTTCCTGTGGCACATGTGACCTTCTTTCTTACCTCTTGTATGTATGAAAGTGCAAACATTTTCACTACTATTTAAGTACCAAAATTGTTTATCTTTAACTTTATTCATTTTTTCATTTATTTTATTTTCCATAATCTTCATCTTACTTTCTTTTTTTTCTACCAACACTTCATCATCAAAATATTCCTTCATAACCTCTTCCATAAGATTTCTTATACTTTTAGTTAAGGATTTTGTAGATACAAGAATTTCTGTGCTTAAAATTACCATTTTAAAAATTTATTGAAATGGTAAGAGAACTTGGATATTTTTATTTTTTTAATTAAAAAAAATTCAATTTTTTTTTACTTAAAAAATTTTTAATTACCTATGAGTAATAGATTACCAATAGTTTTATTAAATACTTATAATTATAAGTATACCGCCATTGTCAAGCACTCAGGAACGTGATCACAGGGCGATGATGTACTTTTTGATTATTTGATGGTGGTGGCGATACCTTACCATGTACTATGTACATACAGTTGTAGCTATTTTTCAGTGCCATTATCATGTATTAAGTTCTTGCTTCGATCCCATTCTCCTGGCTATAGCCTTTCTTACCAATCCACTCGTTCTTTTTGTTGATTCATAGATAACGGGTTACGCACAGACAATGATCCTATCAAGCCATCAATATCGATTATTTATATATATATACTGCAGCATCTAGTAATTGTGCCACAAATAACTCATCAGCGCAAATCAAATATGGCTGCCTTGAAGCACGTCAGTATGATAAGAGCCTGGATGAGCTCGACATGGCATAGTACGCTTTATTCATTGGCTAGTTTCTTGTTATTGCTGCTATCTTTCGTCTTTAGTAAGCCAGTGCCAGTAAAGGAGGTCATCATCCTTGTTTTACATGATTGCTTCAACGTAGCCCTATTGCACATGCATTGTTCGAAAAGCTGAAGCCAAAAATAAGAACAAAGGGAGCATAAAGGAGAAGACTCAGAAGCGCGCGGTTCACTGTGCATGCTCAACGGCAGTGCATAATACAGGTATTCCATCTTCGCATTCTGGAAAAGCGTACGTGGGCTTCAAATGTGTCTTTTGTATGTTTGTAGCTTATACAGATGCCGAGAAAAGTGAATCAAATATACAGTAAAAAGAGGGATAGATCATGTATATACAAGTGGAGAGAGAAAGAAATTGGCGATTTAGAAAATAGAAAGATCGATAGCATGGGATATTCAGTGAGACGTTACTCGGCATCGATTTCATATATTTTTCGCTTGGAACTGGCTTTCGGAGAAGGCATGCAGGGAGGTATCGGTGATGGAATTAAGCCATCGTCTGTCGGTAGAACAATGTCGTCATCGTCATTGATGATGGCAAGCGTGTTTTTCATGATAGTTTTAGCCTGCCACACCAAAGAAAGAAGAGGAATGAACATTTTTGAGAACTGTTCAACAGACGAAGGGAACTCGTATGGGCCAAATTTTTTGATTCTCGCCACTGAACCATTGGGGCAATCTAGAATGTACAAGGTCAGATTCCTTCCTATTTAGAGACTTGTGTTAATCGAAATTGAGAATTGAAATAGGGTATTAATCATTAACAATAAATTAATAAAAGGTTTTAATAATTATATATAAATAATTGTTTAAAAATATATAGGAAAAAATAAAAAATTAGATTATAATTTTTTTATTTTTAAAACTTTTAACTTTTTTTTTAACTTTTTTTTAATTCTTTAAAAGGTTTAAGTTCTGTATAAACCTTTTTAAATATTTTAAAGTGATATATCTTTTAATGTTTAATGTTTAATTTAAAAAGTGGCGGAATGGTAGTGAGCATACCCTCCTCTACCTGAGGAATACTTGGACAACTGGTAGCTTGACAGTGAAAGGAATAACAAATTAATTAGCAATTTATTGCTAAATTAATTGTTATGGATTGATACTCATAGAGAGATTTGGATAAGTTAAAAATCGATTTCGGGACCCCAAGGTGAATTACATCTTGCAGCTCTCCATTTGGTGCATGTTCTCCAAAATCAATTTTTTCCTATTCCTATAACTCTCTATATGTCTTTCACGCGAGAATTAAAATGGGAGGCAATGTGAGTACTAGATTATGCTTACCAGTTACGATGAAGCCAATGACCTTAAGGTCATGGGTCCTGATTGGCGCCATCTTTGACAAACTTGCCAGTATGTCTTTGAGCGTTCTTGGAAGCTTTAGTCTCCCTTCAATGGTAGCTTTTGTGTTGTGCTGGTCGTCAGAGCATGTCGCTTCCAGACAGCCATACTCATGAGCCCCATTAATAAAGATGAGGTCAACCTTTGTTCCTACTAGCTTTCTGTCCAGTAGACCCTCATCATCTGTCCTCCACGCTTCATTCTTTCTTACTGAGGAGCTAGAACTGGCCTTTTCACCAGTACATGCCAAAGTGATTGGTAAGTTAGGGTGATATAAATCATTAGATATCATGCCGTCGTATAGGTTCAAATACCTTTGCACTCGGAGCTTTGACTCATAGAAGCACAACTGGATAAATCCCCATTTCTGGTGAATCAGATCAGCTTCAATATCATCATTGGCTGGCAGAATATCATATAAGAACAAGTCTAAGATATTGATGATGGATATTTGAGCCCAGTACAAATCAGCTTGTTCGATGGGGTGGGGGTAATGGGTTTAACACGAAACAGTTATTTACATATCCTCCTTTAGAAGGAAAGAAAATAAACATACTTCTTTCCTTCTAGATAGGATCTTATTCAGACATACCTTTTTGAGGTAGATTCTATAAGTATCATTATTCAATGAGAAACTAAATGTCTTTATTTTTTTTTAAAAAATAGTGTTATTTAATGGATGCTATCTAATTTTATTAATTTATTAAAAGAAAATGTTTACAAAAATGTCTTTTAAAATCTTAGCGATCGCCCTATTCCCCCTTTGTATCCTGCGATTAACTTTAAACTTAGTTTGGGTTATTTCTAGTTATTGGTTTAAAATACTTATTTATAGATGTAATAGATTATTACAAACTTATTATTCTTTATTACAGAATAATATTCTATCTATTATTAAGTTTATTAAACATAAGTATTACTATTCTACAGATAAAAATCATTTTAGATTTGCATCTGTATTTTTAATTCCTAATAATCTAGTTGATTCTATTCATCTTTATTTTATAGAATTTATTCACTTCTTAAATAATAATCTTTCTAACATTTTTACAGGCTCTTTAGGTTCAGTATTACTAGGTTTATTAATTTATATTAGTTCTGCCCCTAATTCATCTAATACAAATCCTTCATCAAAAAATACTTTTAATGTTAATTTTGGAGATGGAGGTGCAGGGTCAAATAATCATCCATCAGATAGTAATTCTAATAATGATAAACTAATTACTTCTCCTGGAGTTGCTGCGGGAATTATTTCTAGAACAACAATAACTGCTGCAGTTAAAATTGCAAAAACAAATCCTAGAAATGGATTGTTTTTAGGTATTGTTGGTACTATTGGGGGTTTTGCTACTTATGGATTAGGTGAAATGATGAATCATAACTATGAAGAAAGAAAAAGAAAATGAGAGAAATGTATGAAAGAATGTATTATCACTCTATTGAAAGATCTGGTAGTCCTCTACCAGATGGAAACTTCAAAATTAATTCTCTAAATGAAAATAGCAATAATTTTGTAGAATTAATTTCAAATTTCATTGAAAATCCACAAGATGTATTTAACTTATTAAATGAATATTTTAGAGGTAGTAATGGAAATCCTACTCCTTTTTTTAATTTTATGTGTTTGTCTATTTACATTTATTGGAATTCTTGGTTGTTTCTTTTTAATTATAGGTATGTTAAGTAAACTAATTAAAATTGAAGAACAAGAATTTATTAAGAATAGACCTTTATTACATAAATTAGTTTGGCTTATTATTTCATTAAGAGATTGGAATAATTTTGTATTATTAATAATTATGTTATTATGTCATATTGGAATTTTAGTTATTTGCTATTATTTAAACGAATCATTCTGGGTTGATGATTCATATAAAAGATTATTATTATTATCTTATAATAATAATAAATAATCTCCCATGATATCAATATTTATTATTATTATTTTATAAAATTCTCCCCTGGTACCTTGATTTGTGCCTTCTTGTGGTGGTACTGTAAGTAGAGATAGTTAATCTTGAAACTAAATAAATCATTACTAAAAATTAAATGCTATCTAATGACTTACAGGATTTTTCATCTCCTAGCAGACGTTTGAACTTTTATTTAGGCAGAAGGGATTTAATTTTAGGCAGAGTGGACATGAATGTTAATCTAAGTGGATATGGATAAAAGTTAATCTGGACATGAATAATAATTGATCTGGACATGAATGAAAATCGAGCTGGACATGAATGAAAATTGATCTAGACATAAATGAAAATCGAGCTAGACATAAATGAAAATCGAGCTGGACATGAATAAAGATCGATCTGGACATGAGTAAAATCATTTTGGACAAAATAAAAAATCAATCTATACATAAATGAAAATCATTCTGGACAAGAATAATAATATATCTAAACATGAATAATAGACAACCTGGACATAATAACAGTCAACCTAGACATAATAGCAGTCAACCTGGACATAGTTTTAGTCAACTAAGACATAATAAAAGTGGAAGTAGATAATATATTAAGTGTAGCAGAGCATAATATTTGAGTACTTAAGATTTTCAATTCAAGTCAAGACATAATAGAAGTTAAGCAGTATAAAGCCAATGTCACGATATAGTAGTATGGCTGTTTCACTCATAACAAGAAGCTTGTAGGCTAATGTACAGGAAATGGCAAGGGTGCATCAGAGACTCAATACTATGCACATAAGCCTATTTTGCTGCTGTGGGAACGGGGCCTGAGCGTTTCCCCTCATTTCATTTTACCCAGGTTGAGTTTGAAACAAATTGGAGGGTGGTGGCTGAGGTAGGTGGAATGTGTGGGGTTTACTAGTAGCAGTAGGGAGGAAAAACCAACAACAGCCAAAGATCTCATTACCATTCGCCACGGTAAATCAACAGCTTCGACGCACACTTGTAAATGGCTCCTACTCTCTTCACGATGAATAAAAAACAAAGAAAACAAAACGGCACAATCCATGGATCTATTGAAAAACGAAATGAAGGTAACTGTTTTCTTAAAAAAAGCATGTGCTCATGATTTATAAGGAGTAGACCGCTGTTACTGCTGCTTAAAAAAACGCTGGGTAAGTGAACAAGGGAAGGAAAAGGTTGTCGGTTGTGCTTGAGGTATAGCTTTGGTGGAGATATGCCCATTCAGAATTACTGTTTCTTTCTCTTTTTCTATGTATATACTTATGCACCATCTTGTACTATTCCAACGTCAAACTTACGTGTGTAATACAACATCGTCCTCTACCTGCACAAACCATTCGTACTCACAACAAGAACGACGCCACAATCTTCTTCTCCATTACTCATACACAATCATATACAACATGACGCTGATCTGCCATTGATTTGCAAATATATAGCCTGACGCGATTACCTTTCACTATCATGTACGCCCATATTACACGATGACGACTATGACGCCGGTCTTTTGTTTTAATACTAGTACGCTCAAGCACATCATCATCGTAATGACGGTCATCTCTTTCTTTGCTGTTTGTATACACATCAATGCGATGATAATTATATTCCTATGATGCATACACACCACCACAACTATAACCCTCCTCTGCAATTCGCTGTACTCGCACACATATGATGGCAACGACGATTGCCTTTTTCGTTTTGCATATGCCAACACGAACATTGCCGGTCTTGATGGATAAGGTAGTTATATATGCTGATGGGTGGTATGTAGGGTTTTATTATTGTTACTGTAGATGTTATGGTTGGGTTAAAAAAATAAAAGTAAAAGATCATACATTATGTAGTCATTATGTTTCAGTTGTCTGCATAAACGGGTATGAGATGGGATTGCATGCTATTACAAGTGCTTCTATAAAAACTATAGATATAGCTCTGAGCGGTGATGATAATATAGCAGGGACAAAGAAGAAAAGGCGTTTGTTGTTATGAAGGAGGAAGTTTCTTTGCTATTACAACAGCAACTTTATTTGTTGTAATAACAACAACTATGAACAACCGACAAGTTACTACCCTTGACGACTCGCTACGCTCTCTCTCACTCGACTGTACATGGAGTTCTTGCACTCATTCCTAATGAAATCGTGTGCGTTCCTGCTGCTCGATGGCAGATCTTCAAGGATCGCATCTCGGAATTGTGTGGCTACAAATGGGTTCACAAACACGAGACTGTGCATGGCACCAGACGCTCTGCCACGCAATATCAATAATTACAATAACCATCCTTCACCACGAAACAACATCCTTCGCACTTGTAAAACTCTTATAGAACCTTCTTTGTTGTCTTTCTTATATAAGGGTCATCATACTTTATTTTCATCCAATCCACAGCAGCACAAAAGGAAAGAAACCCGTCAGTTATCCTTCCTGCTATCTACAGCTCATTTATCCATAAAAACCGGCGATGTTAACGTTGGTATATGCAAAAGGAGAAGAGTAATCGCGTCAGGCTGTATATTTACAAATCAATGGCAGATCAGCGTCATGTTGTATATGATTGTGTATGAGTAATGGAGAAGAAGATTGTGGCGTCGTTCTTGTTGTGAGTACGAATGGTTTGTGCAGGTAGAGGACGATGTTGTATTACACACGTAAGTTTGACGTTGGAATAGTACAAGATGGTGCATAAGTATATACATAGAAAAAGAGAAAGAAACAGTAATTCTGAATGGGCATATCTCCACCAAAGCTATACCTCAAGCACAACCGACAACCTTTTCCTTCCCTTGTTCACTTACCCAGCGTTTTTTTAAGCAGCAGTAACAGCGGTCTACTCCTTATAAATCATGAGCACATGCTTTTTTTAAGAAAACAGTTACCTTCATTTCGTTTTTCAATAGATCCATGGATTGTGCCGTTTTGTTTTCTTTATTTTTTATTCATCGTGAAGAGAGTAGGAGCCATTTACAAGTGTGCGTCGAAGCTGTTGATTTACCGTGGCGAATGGTAATGAGATCTTTGGCTGTTGTTGGTTTTTCCTCCCTGCTGCTACTAGTAAACCCCACACATTCCACCTACCTCAGCTACCACCCTCCAATTTGTTTCAAACTCAACCTAGGTAAAATGAAATGAGGGGAAACGCTCAGGCCCCGTTCCCACAGCAGCAAAATAGGCTTATGTGCATAGTATTGAGTCTCTGATGCACCCTTGCCATTTCCTGTACATTAGCCTACAAGCTTCTTGTTATGAGTGAAACAGCCATACTACTATATCGTGACATTGGCTTTATACTGCTTAACTTCTATTATGTCTTGACTTGAATTGAAAATCTTAAGTACTCAAATATTATGCTCTGCTACACTTAATATATTATCTACTTCCACTTTTATTATGTCTTAGTTGACTAAAACTATGTCCAGGTTGACTGCTATTATGTCCAGGTTGACTGTTATTATGTCCAGGTTGTCTATTATTCATGTTTAGATATATTATTATTCTTGTCCAGAATGATTTTCATTCATGTATAGATTGATTTTTTATTTTGTCCAAATTGATTTTACTCATGTCTAGATCGATTTATATTCATGTCCAGGTCGATTTATATTCATGTCCAGATCGTTTTATACTCATATCCAGATCGATCTTTATTCATGCCCAGCTCGATTTTCATTCATGCCCAGCTCGATTTTCACTCATGTCTAGATTAACTTTTATTCATGTCCACTCAGATTAACATTCATGTCCACTCTGCCTAAAATTAAATCCCTTCTGCCTAAATAAAAGTTCAAACGTCTGCTAGGAGATGAAAAATCCTGTAAGTCATTAGATAGCATTTAATTTTTAGTAATGATTTATTTAGTTTCGATTAATTATCTCTACTTACAGTACCGCTACAAGAAGGCATAAATCAAGGTACCAGGGGAGAATTTTACAAAATAATAATGATAAATATTGATATCATGGGAGATTATTTATTATTATTATAAGATAATAATAATAATCTTTTATATGAATCATCAACCCAGAATGATTCGTTTAAATAATAGCAAATAGCTAAAATTCCGATATGACATAATAACATAATTATTAATAATACAAAATTACTCCAATCTCTTAATGAAATAATAAGGCAAACTAATTTATGTAATAAAGGTCTATTCTTAATAAATTCTTGTTCTTCAATTTTAATTAGTTTACTTAACATACCTATAATTAAAAAGAAACAACCAAGAATTCCAATAAATGTAAATAGACAAACACGTAAAATTAAAAAAAGGAGTAGGATTTCCATTACTACCTCTAAAATATTCATTTAATAAGTTAAATACATCTTGTGGATTTTCAATGAAATTTGAAATTAATTCTACAAAATTATTGCTATTTTCATTTAGAGAATTAATTTTGAAGTTTCCATCTGGTAGAGGACTACCAGATCTTTCAATAGAGTGATAATACATTCTTTCATACATTTCTCTCATTTTCTTTTTCTTTCTTCATAGTTATGATTCATCATTTCACCTAATCCATAAGTAGCAAAACCCCCAATAGTACCAACAATACCTAAAAACAATCTATTTCTAGGATTTGTTTTTGCAATTTTAACTGCAGCAGTTATTGTTGTTGCAGAAATAATTCCCGCAGCAACTCCAGGAGAAGTAATTAGTTTATCATTATTAGAATTACTATCTGATGGATGATTATTTGACCCTGCACCTCCATCTCCAAAATTAACATTAAAAGTATTTTTTGATGAAGGATTTGTATTAGATGAATTAGGGGCAGAACTTATATAAATTAATAAACCTAGTAATACTGAACCTAAAGAGCCTGTAAAAATGTTAGAAAGATTATTATTTAAGAAGTAAATAAATTCTATAAAATAAAGATGAATAGAATCAACTAGATTATTAGGAATTAAAAATACAGATGCAAATCTAAAATTATTTTTATCTGGAGAATAGTAATACTTATATTTATTAAACTTAATAATAGATAGAATATTATTCTGTAATAAAGAATAATAAGTCTGTAATAATCTATTACATCCATAAATAAGTATTTTAAACCAATATTAGAATAACCCAAACTAAGTTTAAAGTTAATCGCAGGATACAAAGGGGGAATAGGGCGATCGCTAAGATTTTAAAAGACATTTTTGTAAACATTTTCTTTTAATAAATTAATAAAATTAGATAGCATCCATTAAATAACACTATTTTTTAAAAAAAAATAAAGACATTTAGTTTCTCATTGAATAATGATACTTATAGAATCTACCTCAAAAAGGTATGTCTGAATAAGATCCTATATAGAAGGAAAGAAGTATGTTTGTTTTCTTTCCTTCTAGAGGAGGATATGTAAATAACTGTTTCGTATCAAACCTATTACCCCCCCTCGAAATGGTGTACTTTTCGGTGGGCCAAAAGGGCAGGCATGTTTTTCTATGTAATGAAACGCTTTAGCTCTTACTGTCCCTTTTACACAAGCACACAAATGGGGTTTAGCACGATCGTTTTACCTTTCCAGCATATAACATCACGTATTGCTCCAAGGCAGGCAGCAATGGTGGTAGTTTGGAGGCTTTGTAGTTGGTGATTTCAGCAAGTTGATCCGCAGAGAAATAAGAAAGCCAAACGGCCTCTTTGGGATTGATTATGAGTGAGTGGACGGAGCTAAAACAGTATGAGAATGTTAGTAAAGTATGTTGGTTACTGACCTCCACCCTTATCTTTATTTGTCAACTAATATGGACGTACTGATGATGTATATAAGGGCCAATTGCTGCATTTGGTCTTCGACCGCCACTCTTTCTTCACCTTCTGCTCTAGCGAGCAGCCACTACTTTTGATTTGCTGCTAGCCGTTTATATATCATTTTTACCCATAGGCGGTTGCTGGGGGTTAGAGTTGATATCGGGGATTAATCCTTAATCGTAATTCTTTAAAAGGTTTTATTAATTAAAGAAATATCATTGTTTAAAGATATATATAAAAAAACAAAAAATTAGATTATAGCTTTTTTATTTTTGAAACTTTTAACTCTTTTTAAACCTTTTTTTTAATTCTTTAAAAGGTTTAGGTTTTGTATAAACCTTTTTAAACCTTTAAAAGAGTTATATCCTTTTATAATTACTTTAAAATAGGCTAGGAGGTACAACGACGCCCAGTTCATTTAAAAATCAATGAAGTTAGATTTTTATTTGAACACTTGATAGAGTAATACAATGACATAATTAATTTACTGTTACAGTAAAATTAATTGTTATTGATTACTCATCACACAGTGGTCCCCCGCTTTTTGCAGCAGCGGTTTTTGGTGGAAAAAACTGCAAAAAGTGGGGAACTGCAAAAAGTGAGGATGAGTATGAGATGTTACACAGACTGAGTCTATTATGTTAATCAAGTGTCAATGATAGTAAACCAATTAAAAGTGTCGGTGTTGTACTGAGGCTACTTAGAACACTGTTAATAAGGCACGAACACTGTTCATAAGGCACTTGTAGACAAGTTTATAGAATAACTACCATTATTCTAGGGTTTCGACTAACGTCTCAATGACCAGCTAACCACGTCATCGAAAATCAAAGATTTTCTCTGACCACCCCTAATTATATTGATCATTCTTTATTATTTAAAAATAAAACTTAAAAACTAAATATATAAAATAAATTAATAATTAAAAAATTAATAAACTATTAAACAGCCTACTTATTATAAATCAACTCTTATATAAAAGGCTGTCGTCTCATTCTTGATGTTTATATACTGTACTATCGACACCTCCACACCACTATGGTAAAAGCAAAATACCCAAAGCTTACTGACGAGCAAAAGGATGCTATGAGGTTCAATCCATAACAATTAATTTTACTGTAAACAGTAAATTAATTTTAGTTATTCCTTTCCCTGTCAAGCGTTCTAGTAAATTAAAATTTCATTTTAATTTATCTGAACTGGGGCGTCGTCGTACCTCCTAGCCTAGAAGGAGGGGGTGCTCACTACCGTTCCGCTACTTTTCAAATTAAATATTAAACCTTAAAGGATATAACTCTTTTAAAGGTTTAAAAAGGTTTATGCGAAACATAAACATTTTAAAGAATTAAAAAAAAAAGTTAAAAAAAAAGATAAAAGTTTTAAAAATAAAAAAATTAAAATCTAATTTTTTATTTTTCCTAAACATGTTTAAACAATGATTTATCTTTAAACAATAAAACCTTTTAAGGAATTACAATTAAGGATTAAACCCCTATCTATCAACATTACATGTAGATGTCACTGGTTCAAGACTCTATGTCCCAGGCTCTCAAGTTAACGGGAAATGTACGAAGCATGGTTACAAGTGAAGAGAGAGCGAAAACAAGCAATTGTGGAAGCAGAGCGCAGGGCAGAAGCGGCGCGACAAGCATACAAAGCAGCCCTTCAAGATGTCAACGACGCTATCAGACCTAACCAACAACAATGTGCACCAAGCATGTACCAAAGTTTCAAGAAGAAGAGCACCCCTAGTCCCTATTTCGAGGACATTGTATTTGAACAAGATATCAAGGAACCAGAGCTGCACTGGCAGGAAAGGAAAATGCTTAGTACCCTGGACAGGTGGTATAAGCTGAAAGAATTTGATGTCCAACCACCTGACGCACTCCGGTTACGAGAAACTCCCAAAACAATAGCTCACGCACTAGGCTTCACAAAATTCAAACTTCCAATACCACAACAACACCACCTCGCTTTTACATACATGTTAAACCCCGAAGCAAACCCTGGACCCCAGTATAAAGCAAAAGGATACCAAACAAAACAACAAGGCTACGATCGTGCCATGGTTGAAGCAGCCAGGGTGTACTGAGAACTAAAGGACGGAAAGTGGCCAGGCGACATCCTGTGGGGAACAGCACAGCGAGACAAAATTGTTGACCTGCGAAACGAGTTGGATGGTGAAAGGAAATTGGCAAGGCTGGTTTTGATGCCAGATATGCACGAGAGCATACTGGGTGGGGCGATTGCCCAGCCGATTCAGACGAAACTCAAAAGACACGACGGCCCAATCATCTATAGGAAGTCATGGTTTGGTCCACAGCAATCGGAAATGCAGAAAAGGCTCTCCGGTGGAAAGCACTATTGGATACTTGATGCGAGCACTTTTGACGCGAATGTCCCAGACAAGGTTATCCGTTTTGCTTTTGATGTAATCAAATATGCATACGCCGACCCTGATGATGAATTTCTCGAGAGATGGTTGCACTGGCATTACGTCCAGTTTGCTAGATCATACATCATACTTTCTGAAGGGTATTTGTACAAGAAGAAAGGTGGAATCCCGAGTGGAAGCATTTTCACATCATTGATTGATAGCATCTGCAATTTTGTCATGCTCAGACAGGCATTTGGAGAATGCGAGCAAGAACAAGAAAATAAGACAAGAAATATGCAGTTCTTCATCAGTGGTGATGATAGTGTAGTGAAGTACACTGGACCTAAAGATGTACCAGAAACAAGTATTGGACGAGTAGCAGAATATCTCGAGAAAACTTTTAACTACAAGGTGTCGAAGGAGAAGAGTTGGGAGACGGATCATGTTGGATGGATCGATGAAGAAGACAAAGGAGTCGAGTTCCTAGGAACAAGATTTGGGCATGTGGAGGGCGAGCCCACCTTCAGAGCATATTCCAAGACATATACACAACTGTTACTCCCAGAAAAACCCGATACGCGACCAAGCGATTTCCTCAAGAGACTTGTTGGCACTATGATCGACAATGCATTTGACGACAAAGCCGACAAACTCTTTCAAAAGACGCTTGATCACATAATGCAATACTATGGAGCGTGGGCTGGTGACAACAGGTGGTACGACGACGACCGGAGAACAGTTGGGTTCGGAGAAGTCACAAGCGTCTACGACTTTTACTCCCAAGGCAGGCACAAAAGGCTGTACTATGTCGGAAGCACTGTCACTGAAGGAATCAAGTGGATAAATGTCAAAAGAGAAGAAATAGGAACAGACATGATGCCGTCGAAGATAGGAATGAGGAGGAAAGGAAGACTAAAGTTAAAAGAAATGTCCATTGCACAAATCCTGGCATATTTTTAAATTGTAGTAAATAGAGCAATAGCACCTTGCACCCATCGGGCTGTTGCCCTACAATAAAAAGTAAGGCTCTCGAGTTGATAGCGGAAAATTGCAGGTCCCCATTTTTGGCCTGTAAAATGCAAAAAGTGAGGAAACTGCAATTTTACTAAGTGATAAGTGGGTATGCTCCAAAAAAATCTGCAAAAATTGAGGATCTGCAAAAAGTAGGGCTGCAAAAAGCAGGGGACCACTGTAGAAGCAGAGCTAGAGCGTCCTGAAACTGTGTGGCTTGATTTACTCGAACAAGCGTTTGTTGCAACCTTGGCTCCAGTGTTGTTCGTCGCCTGTTCCACAAGACGCACACAAAGTTCTGACCAATTTGGCTTACTGCGTTTCTGAGATAAAAACAAGGTGAGAATTTGCTGCTATCATTGGCATCGATAGATATATAGAACCATGTCAAAACGTACCACTGGTTTTCTAAGTTGTCCAGCAACTTTGCTAAAACGAGAGGGCCTTTTGAGCTTCTGATTGCTCACCCCGCTCTGATTCTCGAGGTGGTAATGTACTTTGAGATAAACCTTTTGCTGCAATGATCTTGAATGAAGTCAAGTGACCTCTGCCAGCCGCAGCATTTCGAGTTGCTCTATTCATCAAGAAAAATTACATCAGAGGAATTTTGTAGTCAGTCACAAGCATAGAGAAATTCTAAGTCCCAATTTGCAAGTCCAACAACTATATCCAAAAAAAAATATGCTAAGTCCAACAACTGTATCGAAAACTAAGAGTATTCGAAAACAAAACATATGTGATAAGTATCTCTGCTAAATATATATTATAATCTTTATTGTTGACAAGAGGGACGTGCGTTTGGATTGATGATTTTCTCTATGTCTGTGTACAGCCTTTTTTGTAGAACAATTATATTTTCTAGTTGTGTTGTAGTTATTTTTGGTTTGCTTTTTGCAAATGGACTATCAAGTTGATTTTTCGAGCGTTCATATTCAGCGAGCAGATCGTTTCTATGCTGCTGCTGCTGCTGTAAGGATGGTGGTGGTAGTTGCACATATGCTGTTAATGTTGTTGACGACGTAGATGATATTGATGATGCTGGTAATGACGATGCTGGTATTGATTATGATGATACTGTTGTTGTTGAATGGCGAGGAAAGCTTTGGTTTATGATTACTGGAATGGTGGTGTGATATGCGATAAGATATATATGCTTGCATGGCTGGTTACGCTTTTTTAAGTCTTCACAACTACAAGAACCAATAACGCCATTGCTATTGGTTTCTTCAAACTATAGAGTATACAATGCAGAACTAGTAAAAGATTGACAGGTGACTTATTGCCACGGTACGATCAGCAATTGTAAAAGTAAACGCACATATACAGAAATGATACATACATGGTCATCATAAAAAGTTATCATCCAGTCAGCTTCATCTGGTGATTTTCTGCAAGCTTCTTTTTTCCTTTGTTGAGCTTCTCTAGTCGCTGTTGTTTCTTCAACACCAGCCAAAACACGCAGGACTTGAGCACGGTAATCATTTTCGACCAACTGTGTCAGCACATAGATCACACGATCAGCACGATGATTGCGACTGTATGGAAGATATTTGCGTTTAAGTTTGAAGTGGCAGCTTCGATCAGATTACTTGTATGGAAGGACGCATTCTATGGAATATACAATCGTACATAATATTGAAGCGCAAAATAAAGGTAAAACGAGCCTAAAACGTACCTCTCTCCAAGCTTTGCACCAAAGATGATGCTTAGGATATCAATAGTCCAACACATAGCCATAAAATTTAAAATGCTCATATGTATCACACCATTTTTTACCAAATTCATCCCAAGCATGCACAAATTCAGCGACGGTTTTGCAATTCATCAAAGCACTAAGGGCAGAACGAGCTTCATCTCTTTTTTTCTTCGTATTGTCTGTTGACAGAGTAGTTTTAATCTATAACCCAACATATTAAAAAAAGGAATTTTAAATATAAATACAAAATGTGGCTAATTAAAAGGTACCTTGGACATAATGTTCTTTTCCCATGCTCTTTTGATGTGCCAATGACACAGAAAACTTGAAATTGATGACCATAAACTTCTCGGATGCTGTTAATTTCAACTGGACTGCAATCGATCATGATCCTTGTTGGTGTGTATTCCATTCTGTCCCGGAGCCATCGAAACCATACTTGCCGACTTTCACTAACTTCTTTATCTGTGATCATAAAAGCAAGAGGGTAACCTTGTCCAGTAACTGTATGCTTAGCAACGATAGAGAACAGATACACATCAGCCCGGCCATTGATAATAGATTTGCAAATCATGTGTGTGGCATCAATACAGATCTCATTTGATCTCTTGAGCAGCTATAGAGCACATACGTATCTTTATATACGAACATTGCCTTATATTTAAGTATATGTCTTTTCTTACCAAAGCTTGTCGTGGTGATATCCATGCAACAGCAAAAGTATAATTCTTAGTATAATCCAACGTCTGATAACCTTGACCTTTTAGATAGAGAAGCCATTTGACTACACTTTCTCTATCGATTGGATCTTTTCTTGCTGATCTTGACTGTTAGTTGGCGATGATATTCATGACATGATGCTGCTTCACACGTAAGGCTTCCGGGAACGGTCCTTCGCCTTCCTCGAGCTGATACCACCGGTTAGCATCTCTACAAGTTGATATCAAAGTTTTGCTTTACATGTATACATGATACTTACATCTTGAAGTTGTTTACTAGTCAAACGCAGATGTTCCTGAATTTGATCCCACTCCAACTTGTTATTGACAAGGTTTTCAATCCATTTACGTGTTTCAGGGGGGGACTTGTGAGCGAGTAGCATTGGTTATCCGTAGGGTCATGGTGCTGATGTTGCCAGTGATATACAACTCTAATTTTGCCTGAGACCAAGTATTGGATACATTATCGAGCACGACAGTTTACTTTAATGGAAGGTTTTGCAAGTTGACGTTTTTTTATGGGAGTAGGTTCAGTTGAGTCTACAGGCAGAGCAGGGACAGCTGGAACCGATGTTTCTCTTGAGTAATCACAGAGAAAAGTAATACTAAGTTCAACTGTCCGAGGACGGCCGGCATTGTTTTGGCGTGCATCTGAAGCCTTGGGTACGGAGATGTACTTGTTGTTGGTGTTGAAGTTGGCATGCTGCTTGAGGTTTTCAGTAGTTCACTCGTCAAGTTGTTGCTGGTTGTCAAAAGTCTCTGTAACTACTTCGGTTGAATAGGTGGGAAAGACACGGACAAGGTACCCAAGGCTATCAGATGCAGAGGTCATTGTTGTAGGTAAGCAACTGTCAAATACAAAGGTACAGTGTAGTTACGACGCGTCGCTGTGGGAACTTTCTCTATGCTTGTGACTGACTTAAAATTCCTTTGACCAAATAAAATCGGGTCTATGGTCCTTTACAAAAAAAATAAAAAGAGAAAATTCCTCTGATGTAAATTTTTCTTGATGAATAACGAAACCGCAGCATTTCCAGTTTCCGTCTACTGTTTCTACCAAGATACACAAACTGGCATAGGTGTTAGAGTGGAAACCTCAGAAGTGAAGGGGTCATTGGCTCTCTATGACGTGCTTTATTCTCAACAAAATCTTCCTATCCATGATTATAACCTCAAGTTCCTTCTAAGCTAAGATGAAGTTGACAATCTCATTTCATCGTCAATCGGAGGGCCATATTATCCAATGTCGATACCAGGGTAGACGTCTACCACTTGAACTACTTTGCTTCAGCATCAGAAGTGGTGGTTATGTTTTCAGTTGATGGAAAAAATTGTTAGAAGCCTCGTTTGTGTTAGACCTGGGGTCGATGGTAATATTTCTCAAGAGTTTTGCTATGCATGCTCCAGTTCCGTACTCTTTCAACATATCCACGATGTCTTGTTCAATAGCCTTGGTACTCGCCGCTGCTCGGGTCGAGTATGCCTTGACAATGGTAGTATGAGCACCAACTTGCTGTAGTTTCTGTAGCACTTCCTTGACCCAGCTTGCGATTGTGGCAGGCCTGCATGAACGTGTTTGTCCTTCCAGATAACCAAAATAAATGTGTTCCGATAGGAGACGTCTGCGTAATTGTATAGTCTTTGCCACCCGCATTGTAAGGTACGAACCGGGCAGACGATTTCTTCTTGGATGACGCCTAGTTTGACACCTCTACTAGGGTTTCCATGACTTCTCTTGGTACGATAGCTACGGCTACCAGTGCTTGCTCGTGATCGTATATAAAATGAACGACCTCGTATCATAAGCGACCAATATCGGATCTTGGACGCCACATACAATGGCTAAGCACAGAAGGATAATGGTTGTCTTTCGAGAAGTATACAGGTCCAAACGTGTCGATACAAAGTCATGCCTGACGAGCGAACAAATAACTCAAAGAAACGGCTGGGAACTCCCCTCACAAACGTGACATGCTGGTCGTCATAAACGAAGACTGCAAAAGCAAGACAGCCTGAAAAAAAAAATCTACAGAAATATCGAGCTGGCGACAACGTGGTTGCTGCCATTGGCGCTCTCAGATGCACGAATCCTCGTTGTCCATGCTTCGCAGCAAACACCTTCAACCGCGACGAGGTGGTAGGTGCAATATAGCAATCACTGGAGTATTTTAGGCCCTCTCAAGCAACAAGCCTGGACCCGCGTTTTCACTTGTCCTCCTCGAAGGATGTTGCACATCCTGGCGTCTCTATTTCGTTATACTTAAACGCCTGAAGGTAAATATTTCGTTTTGTCTTTTATCCCCGAGAAGTAGAGAGGTGTGGGTGGCCTCAATTTTATTGATTATCGAGGGGGGGGGAAATCAGTCACGCGCACCGAGGCATTGAGAGACTGCTAGCGTACAAATTAAGAGATAAAGGAACAAAGAAAGATTACCAGCTGTGGTTGCTTGATCTGTTACAGAAGATGTAATAGCACTATGCGTTGGCTAGATGGAAACGAGTGAAACCTTTGGTGATATTGCGTTTGACGCTTGCCATAGTGTATGGGATATCATCAAAGATGAGTTGCCAGTACGCCGCCCAAATACCTCCCATAGTGCAGGCGATGAGAGTGGGAGCATAGCGCGAATGGTGTGTTGGTGGAGAATGGTAGTCAGGCCACGAGAGCGTCCGAAGAAAATGTATAAGGCGATCAGTATGCAGCTCGGTAGTAGTATTGTCCCCAGATAAGGTTCCATACGGAATGGCGGTGGCGACAAAGCACTAGCAAGTGTGCAGGAGTATCAATATCGTCATTGCATAAGCGGCATGTAGCACTGGTAAGATCCTGCAGACCCAGACGGAACAGACGCTCGGCAGTTGGTAACGAGTTGTATATGGTACGATACCATAGGTTGCGGGATCCATGTTCCATTGGCCAACGCCAAAATTGCTTTCACTGTTTGGCGACGATCTGGGGTACGCTGTGTTGTGGTGGCGTGCAAAGTTGTTTGTATGCTCGTGTTTGCCATCGTGGCAGTTGCTGTTGCACATATTGGTGCAAAGGTTGAGCGTCACTGAGACCCAAAATGCCTCCCCCTGGTGCTGTAGTTTGTATCGCAACTTTCGCAAATCCGGCAAGAAAGTAGATCCTCCCTTCCCATAAGTCGGTAAAAAATCTTGTTGTTAAGATGCGGTGATAGATCCCGTCTACGGGGGTGCGGCGACGGATATACCCGAGTTGATGGTCGAATACAAATAAATGCGGAACTTGTAGCTTGGAAAAGCCCGGACGACGTATTTTGTCGTGCCCAGGAAGCGGGGCCTATATGCAGTTGAGTGGTAAGTGCAGAAAAGAGGCCGCGGAAAGATGAGCAGAAGAAGGTAAATATTTCGTTTCCGCAAATTTCGTTGCTTGTGGCTTACTTGCAGTTGCACAACACAATAGAATATGTAACCAAGCTTGTCTCCACGGAGTTACCTTGATGAAGAGATGCTTCTACCATTTTCTAAGCTTTTTTTTTGCACGTCGTTACTAATGCTATCTTCTGATTTTTTTTGCTTTTCTTTAGTAGACCGATATCGATATCCTAGATGACATTTCCATATACTAGCTTTTCCATTGTGTCATAATTAATAGTAAGTCGTGAACGCAAATCTTATTGAAGCACTCTGGGGCTTTTCCATTGTTGCACCTGTAATTTCAATTCTTTGCAAGCAGGTCGTGGATGCAAGCCTGGCCGAGCGTCACACCTTTGCCTTGTCCCTCTCCATGGTTGCGAATATTTCCTTTATTTTCTTTTTAAGCAGGTCGTGGATGCTAACTTCTGATCTAACTTGGCCTCTTTTCTCTATGCTCGCGAGTCACATCGTGATCATTTTTGGCGGCTGGAATTATATTAACTAGATCGCTAATATGCACATTATCGACTGCTATAATCATTATGCGATCGAAAATGTAGGCTGTAATGCTAACGTCCTTTTATATGCAAAGTGAATATCAAGTACAGCTGTTCGCAAATATTTCATATGCATGTACCCTGATCAGATAACTTTAACTGTTATAATATTTGTAGTTGCAAGACTGCTTCCAGCCAGTTACACTGGTAGAAACAGCATAGAGCAGTATCACGTCTTTGAGCGAAGCGGTCTTCAGCACAGGCGTCGCCGGTAGTTGATGACTATTTTTTAATGCTGACGAACGCAACGCACCGCAGGAATATCTATCATCTATTATGTTGATCTTGACACCAAGCCAGTGGTTTTTCTCAATAGTCCATCAAGTTATATCCGGTAGTTGTCTTGCTAGCACGGCCCTCTCTTATACCACGTCCACGGGAATTCAAGTTATTTTTGCTATCTTGGCCATATGCAATTTATGTGTTATTGACCAGATTGAATGGCAGCATTACCTAGACAACATGAGAAACTTAATCATCCCAAGTCTGGCAGACCTATCGGATCGAGCGCAGTGCACCAGGAACCTAGTCAAAATTCATCATCGATGGAACTGTATTGCTATACGTATAATTTGTTCATGCTCCCTCGACGTCAATTCAAAGCTGTCTGTATATCATATTGATCTCTTATCAATTATTAGTTGCATGTTAATAAACAAGGCCATACAGAGCTCGCTGCTACAATATGAAAATGTTCCCCTTTTTTAGGGTCGTTGTTGGGCTGCTTCTTTCATCTTCCTATGAGAGGTAGACGATGCGTTACTTATCGATCGTTAAACGATTTAGTTGTATCAACTTACGTCAAGACAATCTACATTTTGAATTATTATGTCCAATCATCAGTCAGTGAGTGTTGTCACGTCGTGTTCAACATTCCTGCCGACTCATATAATTCTTCTTTTTTGAAATTTAGAACGAGTACAATAAGGTGTCTTTAATATGTATCATCGTTTACAGTGAAGCTGCTGGTTTCTGTTTGTGCTCTTGAGTATGTAGAGGGCAGGATAATAACGATACAGTAATAATAATAACAGTAACAATAGGTGACGCCCAAGTATAAATTATACCAGTAAAAGACATTAGTGTATTGAAGGTGTCATTTCGCCGCGTGTCAGTAAACTATATGCATGAGAGTGTTTGACTGACGACAGAGCTGCCTCAGGTGCTGGCTGGGTACAGCTATAGTACATTATGTGTTACAATATGACTATCTCGATGTTTTGAGCACTAACTTAAACGATGAATCGTCAGGCTGTATCATATGAGAGGCTCGGCCACTTTAATTGGTACGCCTATCATGTGCTGTCAGCTGGAGCAAGTACCAAATTGATACTGAAGATGTTGCTAATTTATCCAATGAACCGTAACCTGGTGCCATTGTTTAGTATACTAAATGACCATCAAGAGGCACATCATGGCTCGATGTTTTGTTGTCGTTGCTGACATTGTCTGTGATATCCTGTCAAAGAACTGGACAAGCGTCCCGCACTGTTTGCAGTACTAATTCGTGGTACATGTACGACAACGTAATCCAAAAAACTTCAAAATAATAATTAGTGTCCGCGAAGGATCATATAATTTGGATACTTACAATAGAGTCTGTATCCGCCCCATTGTCAAGCACTCAGGAACGTGATCACAGGGCGATGATGTACTTTCAATTATTTGATGGTGGTGGCGATACCTCACCACGTACTATGTACATACAGTTGTAGCTATTTTTCAGTGCCATTATCATGTATTAAGTTCTTGCTTCGATCCCATTCTCCTGGCTATAGCCTTTCTTACCAATCCACTCGTTCTTTTTGTTGATTCATAGATGACGGGTTATGCACAGACAATGATCCTATCAAGCCATCAATATCGATTATATACATATATATACTGCAGCATCTAGTAATTGTGCCACAAATAACTCGTCAGCGCAAATCGAATATGGCTGCCTTGAAGCACGTCAGTATGATAAGAGCCTGGATGAGCTCGACATGGCATAGCACGCTTTATTCATTGGCTAGTTTCTTGTTATTGTTGCTATCTTTCGTCTTTGGCAACCCAGTGCCAGTAAAGGAGGTCATCATCCTTGTTTCACATGATTGCTTCAACGTAGCCCTATTGCACATGCATTGTTCGAAAAGCTGAAGCCAAAGATCAGAACAAAGGGAGCATAAAGGAGAAGACTCAGAAGCGCGCGGTTCACTGTGCATGCTCAACGGCAGTGCATAATACAGGTATTTCGTTTTCGCATTCTGGAAAAGCGTACGTGGGCTCCAAATGTGTCTTTTTGTATGTTTGTAGCTTATATAGATGACGAGAAAAGTGAATCAAATATACAGTTAAAAGAGGGATGGATCATGTATATACAAGTGGAGAGAGAAAGAAATTGGCGATTTAGAAAATAGAAAGATCGATAGCATGGGATATTCAGCGAGACGTTACTCGGCATCGATTTCATATATTTTTCGCTTGGAACCGGCTTTTGGAGAAGGCATGCAGGGAGGTATCAGTGATGGAATTAAGCCATCGTCTGTCGGTAGAACAATGTCGTCGTCGTCATTGATGATGGCAAGCGTGTTTTTCATGATAGTTTTAGCCTGCCACACCAAAGAAAGAAGAGGAATGAACATTTTTGAGAACTGTTCAACAGACGAAGGGAACTCGTATGGGCAAAATTTTTTGATTCTCGCCACTGAACCATTGGGGCAATCCAGAATGTATAAGGTCAGATTCCTTCCTATTTAGAGACTTGTGTTAATCGAAATTGAGAATTGAAATAGAGAGAGTTGGATAAGTTGAAAATCGATTTCGGGACCCCAAGGTGAATTACATCTTGCAGCTCTCCATTTGGTACAAGTTCTCCAAAATCAATTTTTTTCCTATTCCTATAACTCTCTATATGTCTTTCACACGAGAATTAAAATGGGAGGCAATGTGAGTACTAGATTATGCTTACCAGTTACGATGAAGCCAATGACCTTGAGGTCATGGGTCCTGGTTGGGCGATTGGTTTAGGTCTTGATGATTATTTTAAATCAATTGTTTATATAAAATATTTAAATATATAATGAATATCTTCAATAATACATTAATTTATAACTTTTTTAATTTTTCATATTCATTTACAGTGGTCCCCTGCTTTTTGCAGCCCTACTTTTTGCAGATCCTCAATTTTTGCAGATTTTTTTGGAGCATACCCACTTATCACTTAGTAAAATTGCAGTTTCCTCACTTTTTGCATTTTGCAGGCCAAAAATGGGGACCTGCAATTTTCCGCTATCAACTCGAGAGCCTTACTTTTTATTGTAGGGCAACAGCCCGATGGGTGCAAGGTGCTATTGCTCTATTTACTACAATTTAAAAATATGCCAGGATTTGTGCAATGGACATTTCTTTTAACTTTAGTCTTCCTTTCCTCCTCATTCCTATCTTCGACGGCATCATGTCTGTTCCTATTTCTTCTCTTTTGACATTTATCCACTTGATTCCTTCAGTGACAGTGCTTCCGACATAGTACAGCCTTTTGTGCCTGCCTTGGGAGTAAAAGTCGTAGACGCTTGTGACTTCTCCGAACCCAACTGTTCTCCGGTCGTCGTTGTACCACCTGTTGTCACCAGCCCACGCTCCATAGTATTGCATTATGTGATCAAGCGTCTTTTGAAAGAGTTTGTCGGCTTTGTCGTCAAATGCATTGTCGATCATAGCGCCAACAAGTCTCTTGAGGAAATCGCTTGGTCGCGTATCGGGTTTTTCTGGGAGTAACAGTTGTGTATATGTCTTGGAATATGCTCTGAAGGTGGGCTCGCCCTCCACATGCCCAAATCTTGTTCCTAGGAACTCGACTCCTTTGTCTTCTTCATCGATCCATCCAACATGATCCGTCTCCCAACTCTTCTCCTTCGACACCTTATAGTTAAAAGTTTTCTCGAGATATTCTGCTACTCGTCCAATACTTGTTTCTGGTACATCTTTAGGTCCAGTGTACTTCACTACACTATCATCACCACTGATGAAGAACTGCATATTTCTTGTCTTATTTTCTTGTTCTTGCTCGCATTCTCCAAATGCCTGTCTGAGCATGACAAAATTGCAGATGCTATCAATCAATGATGTGAAAATGCTTCCACTCGGGATTCCACCTTTCTTCTTGTACAAATACCCTTCAGAAAGTATGATGTATGATCTAGCAAACTGGACGTAATGCCAGTGCAACCATCTCTCGAGAAATTCATCATCAGGGTCGGCGTATGCATATTTGATTACATCAAAAGCAAAACGGATAACCTTGTCTGGGACATTCGCGTCAAAAGTGCTCGCATCAAGTATCCAATAGTGCTTTCCACCGGAGAGCCTTTTCTGCATTTCCGATTGCTGTGGACCAAACCATGACTTCCTATAGATGATTGGGCCGTCGTGTCTTTTGAGTTTCGCCTAAATCGGCTGGGCAATCGCCCCACCCAGTATGCTCTCGTGCATATCTGGCATCAAAACCAGCCTTGCCAATTTCCTTTCACCATCCAACTCGTTTCGCAGGTCAACAATTTTGTCTCGCTGTGCTGTTCCCCACAGGATGTCGCCTGGCCACTTTCCGTCCTTTAGTTCTTGGTACACCCTGGCCGCTTCAACTATGGCACGATCGTAGCCTTGTTGTTTTGTTTGGTATCCTTTTGCTTTATACTGGGGTCCAGGGTTTGCTTCAGGGTTTGACATGTATGTAAAAGCGAGGTGGTGTTGTTGTGGTATTGGAAGTTTGAATTTTGTGAAGCCTAGTGCGCGAGCTATTGTTTTGGGAGTTTCTCGTAACCGGAGTGCGTCAGGTGGTTGGACATCAAATTCTTTCAGCTTATGCCACCTGTCCAGGGTACTAAGCATTTTCCTTTCCTGCCAGTGCAGCTCTGGTTCCTTGATATCTTGTTCAAATACAATGTCCTCGAAATAGGGACTGGGGGTGCTCTTCTTCTTGAAACTTTGGTACATGCTTAGTCCACATTGTTGTTGGTTGGGTCTGATTGCGTCGTTGACATCTTGAAGGGCTGCTTTGTATGCTTGTCGCGCCGCTTCTGCCCTGCGCTCTGCTTCCACAATTGCTTGTTTTCGCTCTCTCTTCGCTTGTAACCATGCTTCGTACATTTCCCGTTAACTTGAGAGCCTGGGACATAGAGTCTTGAACCAGTGACATTTACATGTAATGTTGATAGATAGGGGTTTAATCCTTAATTGTAATTCCTTAAAAGGTTTTATTGTTTAAAGATAAATCATTGTTTAAACATGTTTAGGAAAAATAAAAAATTAGATTTTAATTTTTTTATTTTTAAAACTTTTATCTTTTTTTTTAACTTTTTTTTTTAATTCTTTAAAATGTTTATGTTTCGCATAAACCTTTTTAAACCTTTAAAAGAGTTATATCCTTTAAGGTTTAATATTTAATTTGAAAAGTAGCGGAACGGTAGTGAGCACCCCCTCCTTCTAGGCTAGGAGGTACGACGACGCCCCAGTTCAGATAAATTAAAATGAAATTTTAATTTACTAGAACGCTTGACAGGGAAAGGAATAACTAAAATTAATTTACTGTTTACAGTAAAATTAATTGTTATGGATTGAACCTCATAGCATCCTTTTGCTCGTCAGTAAGCTTTAGGTATTTTGCTTTTACCATAGTGGTGTGGAGGTGTCGATAGTACAGTATATAAACATCAAGAATGAGACGACAGCCTTTTATATAAGAGTTGATTTATAATAAGTAGGCTGTTTAATAGTTTATTAATTTTTTAATTATTAATTTATTTTATATATTTAGTTTTTAAGTTTTATTTTTAAATAATAAAGAATGATCAATATAATTAGGGGTGGTCAGAGAAAATCTTTGATTTTCGATGACGTGGTTAGCTGGTCATTGAGACGTTAGTCGAAACCCTAGAATAATGGTAGTTATTCTAAAAACTTGTCTACAAGTGCCTTATGAACAGTGTTCGTGCCTTATGAACAGTGTTTTAAGTAGCCTCAGTACAACACCAACACTTTTAATTGGTTTACTATCATTGACACTTGATTAACATAATAGACTCAGTCTGTGTAACATCTCATACTCATCCTCACTTTTTGCAGTTCCCCACTTTTTGCAGTTTTTTCCACCAAAAACCGCTGCTGCAAAAAGCGGGGGACCACTGTGTGAAGAGTAATCAATAACAATTAATTTTACTGTAACAGTAAATTAATTATGTCATTGTATTACTCTATCAAGTGTTCAAATAAAAATCTAACTTCATTGATTTTTAAATGAACTGGGCGTCGTCGTACCTCCTAGCCTATTTTAAAGTAATTATTAAAGGATATAACTCTTTCAAAGGTTTAAAAAGGTTTATACAAAACCTAAACCAAAAAAAAAAAGTTTAAAAAAAAGTTATTAGTTTCAAAAATAAAAAATTTATAATCTAATTTTTTATTTTTTTATATATATCTTTAAACAATGATATTTCTTTAATTAATAAAACCTTTTAAAGAATTACGATTAAGGATTAATCCCCGATATCAACTCTAACCCCCAGCAACCGCCTATGGGTAAAAATGATATACAAACGGCTAGCAGCAAATCAAAAGTGGTGGCTGCTCGCTAGAGCAGAAGGTGAAGAAAGAGTGGCAGTCGAAGACCAAATGCAGCAATTGGCCCTTAAATATATACATCATCAGTACGTCCATATTAGTTGACAAATAAAGATAAGGGTGGAGGTCAGTAACCAACATACTTTACCAGCATTCTCATACTGTTTTAGCTCCGTCCACTCACTCATAATCGATCCCAAAGAGGCCGTTTGGCTTTCTTACTTCTCTCCGGATCAACTTGCTGAAATCACCAACTACAAAGCCTCCAAACTACCACCATTGCTGCCTGCCTTTGAGCAATACTTGATGTTATATGCTGGAAAGGTAAAACGATTGTGCTAAACCCCATTTGTGTGCTTGTGTAAAAGGGACAGTAAGAGCTAAAGCGTTTCATTACATAGAAAAACATGCCTGCCCTTTTGGCCCACCAAAAAGTACACCATTTCGAGGGGGGTAATAGGTTTAACTTGAAACAGTTATTTACATATCCTCTTTCGCAAGGGTAATGGGTTTAACATAAAACAGTTATTTACATATCCTCCTTTAGAAGGAAAGAAAATAAACATACTTCTTTCCTTCTAGATAGGATCTTATTCAGACATACCTTTTTTAGGTGGATTCTATAAGTATCATTATTCAATGAGAAACTAAATGTCTTTATTTTTTAAAAAAATAGTGTTATTTAATTAATGCTATCTAATTTTATTAATTTATTAAAAGAAAATGTTTACAAAAATGTCTTTTAAAATCTTAGCGATCGCCCTATTCCCCCTTTGTATCCTACAATTAACTTTAAACTTAGTTTGGGTTATTTCTAGTTATTGGTTTAAAATACTTATTTATGGATGTAATAGATTATTACAAACTTATTATTCTTTATTACAGAATAATATTCTATCCATTATTAAGTTTATTAAACATAAGTATTACTATTCTACAGATAAAAATCATTTTAGATTTGCATCTGTATTTTTAATTCCTAATAATCTAGTTGATTCTATTCATCTTTATTTTATAGAATTTATTCACTTCTTAAATGATAATCTTTCTAACATTTTTATAGGCTCTTTAGGTTTAGTATTACTAGGTTTATTAATTTATATAAGTTCTGCCCCTAATTCATCTAATACAAATCCTTCATCAAGAAATACTTTTAATGTTAATTTTGGAGATGGAGGTGCAGGGTCAAATAATCATCCATCAGATAGTAATTCTAATAATGATAGACTAATTACTTCTCCTGGAGTTGCTGCGGGAGTTATTTCTGGAACAATAATAACTGCTGCAGTTAAAATTGCAAAAACAAATCCTAGAAATGGATTGTTCTTAGGTGTTGTTGGCACTATTGGTGGTTTTGCTACTTATGGATTAGGTGAAATGATGAATTATAACTTTGAAGAAAGAAAAAAAATGAGAGAAATGTGTGAAAGAATGTATTATCACTCTATTGAAAGATCTGGTAGTCCTCCACTAGATGGAAACTTCAAAATTAATTCTCTAAATGAAAATAGTAATAATTTTGTAGAATTAATTTCAAAATTCATTGAAAATCCACAAGATATATTTAATTTATTAAATGAATATTTTAGAGGTAGTAATAGAAATCCTACTCCTATTTTAATTTTATGTGTTTGTCTATTTACATTTATTGGAATTCTTGGTTGTTTCTTTTTAATTATAGTTATGTTAAGTAAACTAATTAAAATTGAAGAACAAGAGTTTATTAAGAATAGACCTGTATTACATAAATTAGTTTGCCTTATTATTTCATTAAGAGATTGGAATAATTTTGTATTATTAATAACTATGTTATTATGACATATTGGAATTTTTGTTATTTGCTATTATTTAAACGAATCATTCTGGGTTGATGATTCATATAAAAGATTATTATTATTATTTTTATAATAATAATAAATAATCTCCTATGATACCAATATTTATTATTATTATTTTATAAAATTCTCCCCTAGTACCTTGATTTATGCCTTCTTGTGGCGCTACTGTAAGAAGAGATAATTAATCTTGAAACTAAATAAATCATTACTAAAAATTAGATGCTATCTAATTACTTACAGGATCTTTCATCTCCTAGCGGACGTTTAAACTTTTATTTAGGCAGAAGGGATTTAATTTTAGGCAGAGTAGACATGAATGTTAATCTAAGTGGACATGAATAAAAGTTAATCTAGACATGAATAATAATTGATCTGGACATGAATGAAAATCAAGCTGGACATGAATGAAAATCGAGCTGGACATGAATGAAAATCGATCTAGACATGAATGAAAATCGAGCTGGACATGACCTGGACATGAATAAAGATCGATCTGGACATGAATATAAAACGATCTGGACATGAATATAAATTGACCTGGACATGAATATAAATCGACCTGGACATGAATATAAATCGATCTGGACAAGAGTAAAATCAATCTAGACAAAATAAAAATCAATCTGTACATGAATGAAAATCGTTCTGGACAAGAATAATAATCAATGTAAACATGAATAATAGACAACCTGAACATAATAACAGTCAAACTGGACATTGTTTTAGTCAACTAAGACATAATAAAAGTTGAAGTAGATAATATATTAAGTGTAGCAGAGCAGAATATTTGAGTACTTAAGATTTTCAATTCAAGTCAAGACATAATAGAAGTTAAGCAGTACAAAGCCAATGTCAAGATATAGTAGTATGGCTGGTTCACTCGTGACAAAAAGCTTGTAGGCTAATGTACAGGAAATGGCAAGGGTGCGTCAGAGACTCACTACTGTGCGCATAAGCCTATTTTGCTGCTGTGGGAACAGGGCCTGAGCGTTTCCCCTCCATTCATTTTACCCGGGTTGAGTTTAACACAAACTGGAGGCTGGTGGCTGAGGTAGGTGGAAAGTGTGGGGTTTGTTAGCAGCAGCAGGGAGGAAAAAAAACAACCAAAGATCCTTTTTTTTCTCATTACCATTTGCCACGGCAAATCAACAGCTTCGACGCACACTTGTAAATGACTCCTACTCTCTTCACGATGAATAAAAACAAAGAAAACAAAACGGCACAAACCACGGATTTATTGAAAAACGAAATGAAGGTAACTGTTTTCTTAAAAAGAGCATGTGCTCACGATTGATAAGGAGTAGACCGCCGTTACTGCTTAAAAAAACGCTGGGTAAGTGAACAAGGGAAGGAAAAGGTTACTGGTTGTGCTTGGGGTATAGCTTTAGTAGACATACGCTCATTCAGAATTACTGTATTTTTTTCTTCTCTGTATATACTTGATGCACCATCTTGCACCATTCCAACGTCAGACTTGCTTGCGTAATACAACATCGTCCTCTACCTGCACAAACGATTCGTACTCACAACAAGAACGAC